TTAGAGGAAATACCTATGCCTTTCCCTGCCAGCAGGAGATGGTGTTGAGGTGCAGTGGAATAAATTTATTAAAGCAATTGATTTTTCGCTGAAGTAAAATGGCTCCTGCTAAATGTGAGGTTATATTATTTTATGAGCTAGAAAATTTCATGGGAACCTGTAATTGACAGGGATAAGTGGGTGGCGCTTAGCCTTTCACCAGACCGGCATTTTCGAGGTTGGGGCACTTTGGGGCACCACTCCGCAGTGGGGAGCCAGCGTGGGGACCTGGGAGGAGAAGGCGGTCTCTGAGGCCGAGGTCCCGCTGTGATGGTGGGGCCCACCGTCTGGGGCGGGCACTGGGCCGGGGACTGGGCCGGGGTGACTGAACAGTGGCTGGGATAGAGCCCAGCGCGGGAGAAAGTGGGAAAACAGCAGAGGTGGTTTCCTTCAGGTGGGACGAATGAGGACTCCTCTCCGGGGGGAGGGGGTGCAGTGGCCAGGGCCCGTGCTGAAGTCCTGGTGAGAAAATACTCCGGGAGGCGGACGCCAGGGCCCGGCAAGCTTCTGAGTGGATTGCTTGGGGCCACCACTGCCGTCTGACACACCCGAGCTCAGCTGTGCTTAGATCTCAGGCTGAGAAGCCTTGTTTTCCTGTCCTGGAAACGCATTTCCTTAAAACCCAAACTCACACCAGCACTACCCGCTCCGCTGGGGGGCAAACAGCTCACCTGGCCTGTTGCCTTAGCAGGGTTTGTTTCCGGAACCCAGGTATTGATGCATGGGTGGCATCTTTCAAACTTTGTGACTGGCTTGCATTTTGCTTCACGGCCAGTAGCGGGTGTGTGTGTCTGTCTGCTGGGGCACACCATGTACAGCATTTAGTCAGCATTAGAGTTAATACTTGGCCAGCAGGTCACTGTCATAGAACAAGCCTGTGGGGTACCGGAATAAACCTGTTCCATGATCCATTCTCGACATGGATTTCTGTGGATTTCCCTCTCACTTGGGGGTATTACATGCCTGCAGGAATGTCTGTCTACTCACGTCCAGCAGGTTTGCACTCCTATCACCAAACACCCGGATCAGGGTGCAGAAAGTGGCCGTGAGGTGAAGAGTGACCACCAGCCCTCTAAGGGCTCCTTGTAGCTGACCTGATAAAGTCTCAGAGGGCAGTACTAGCTCTATTGTAGAGGAGGAGAAACCTTTTACTCTAGCCTGTTAGGTTCGGTGACTGAGACTTGCAAATTAAACTGACAAATGTTAATCTGAACAGATAAAAAGACATAGTTTTATTAGTCTTAAATTTCATACGGCACAATGACTTCGTAGAAGAGTGCAAAACCGAAATGAGTGCTTAGACTTAAGAGGTTATATTCCATTTTAACAGGATGAAAAATTGTGGAGAAGTGACTAGACAACGGAAAGGGTTTGGGCTGCTAGGGCCAATAACTTGTGGGAAAGGAACTAGGAAATGATACAGGGGAACTACTGGAAGGCTGGCATTATTTTAGTAAGGTCTGTTCAGCACATTCAGGGATGACACCTCATCTTTGGTGGAGTGTGTGCCCCCTTCCTGTACAGGGTGGCCACCCTTCTGGGAAATTCATGTCCTGCCTTTAGGCAGAAGGAGGAGGGCAGAGGGCTCTTACACAACTGCTGTTTCTCCCTCACACTGTACTGGTGCCTACTTTGTCTTAATGCTGGGGCTTGCCCCCAGCAAGCAGAGAGGTTGAAGTAACAGTTGGGTGTTGCCTGAGGTCAGGCTCAAGGCAGCTGGATCCAAGTGTGAGTG